TTAACTTTTCAGTTCAAGAAATGTATAACACTTGCAGCTAGTGCCCATTTACCCTTTCATCTGTGTATGGCATAAACAGGCTGGATTGTTCACTGAACTCTCAAAGAGCAGCTGACAGTTCTCTTGTTGAGAACTGAATTTGAGTGCACTCTTTACATAGTTATAGTATGGCAGGGGTTGGGGCAGGCTCTCCCATGTTGATTGGCCACCACATTTCAATCCAGACTTGGGGGGCAAATCTTTCCTGGGTGAGAGGTGGTTCAGGCTCTGTTGTCACTTAGTTTTTTTGGGCTTTCTGATTAGGGCTTATCTATGTAGAGAGACCTCACTGAAAGTTGTTGCATGTATTAAGCCAACCTGGAAAAAGCAGTTCCAGACAAAAAAACAACTGCATGGGGGTTATTCCAGAATTACTATAACAAATTCACACCCTGTCTTATTCTGGAAATACTCCCCCATGTGTAAAAAACTTTAAAGCTGTCAAAAATATATTGACATATGCTTGTAGTATGTTACAGAAACCTACCAACAAGGACTTGGGTGAAGAAAACTCATTTTATATAGGCCACTAGAGATCCATGCCTTTAAGTATATAGTGTCTATACATTATCATAAAAGGTCAGCAAATAATTGTGCCTGCTCCCAGATTTTTTAAAAATGGTTTGAAAGGCATGTTTTTCATAGATTCTAGGGTCGGAAGGGACCTCAGTGGGCCATCTAGTCTGACCCCCTGCCCCTGGCAGGCAAGAAAAGGGTCACCAAACCTGGGATCATGTGAACCAGCCAGGTGCCTGTCCAGTCTTCTCTTGAAGACCCCCAAGGATGGGGCAAGCACCACCTCTCTTGGAAGCCCATTCCAGATCCTGGCAACCCTGATTGTGAAGAACTTTTTTCTAACATCCAGTCTAAACCTGCTCTCTAGTAGCTGATGGCCATTGTTGCTTGTTGTTCCAGCGGGTGCCCTTGCAAACAGATCGTTGCTTACTTCATGTTGCTCTCCCCTTATGAATTTGTACGCCACCACAAGGTCCCCTCTCAGCCTTCTCTTGGAGAGATTGAAGAGGTTAAGGTCCCTTATCCTTTCCTTGTAGGGCCTTTCGTGCAGGCCTCCAATCAGATGAGTGGCCCTTCTTTGGACCCTCTCCAGGTTGTCTGCATCCTGCTTGAACTGCAGTGTCCAGAACTGGACACAAATACTCCAGCTGCAGCCTGACCAGAGCTGCATAGGGAGGGAGAATCACCTCCCTGGACCTGTTTGTGAAGCACCTATGGATGCACAACAAGGTGTGATTGGGTCTGCTGACTACTTCATCACATTGACGACTCATGTTCATCCTGAAGTCAACAGTGACTCCAAGATCTCTTTCTGCCTCAGTGGTGCTGAGAAGGTCACCCCCTTATGCTCTCAGTGGTGCTGAGAAGGTCGCCCCCAGATGTTCCTATCTTTGAGATGTGAAATGTTGAGAGGTAATGACAGAGTATTTTAGGTAAAATACAGTTTTTGTATGAGTCTTCTACTTTGGTTTGGTTTAACACCTGCATGTTCAGATTAGGCAAGTGTCAGGTTTATGATCTACTTGAAGTGAAACAAGACAAATAGCTAATTGAACACAATGTTTGAACAGCTGGCTAGAGACTGCAGATAAAGGTAGTTGACTGATCAGAATGAAAATGGTAAGTCTGATTTATCCATCTACCAGATAGCTTTGAAGTCCCTGTAATGTCGTTTGAGAATGAGCTTCATACCTTGGAAGTATTGTATGCTTTTCGTAGAAGAACAGAGAGAAAAAAATTTTGCTTCTAGTTTTTCTTTCCTAAACTGAAAAAATCTTATTTTAAGTGAAGATAGCTTTGCATTTACAGTACTGCATTTACGCTACTGTGCTTCTCTTCTTTCTTTAAAAAATGACTTATCTTTGAATATTTTCCATACCGAAGGCTTCTCTTCAGAATTTCTCTTTGGAATTTTTGTAACCAATACCAGGTTGCTACACAGGGGAAGAAAAAGCTATTTCCTGTTAGAGAGAGAGAGAGAGAAAGAGAGAGAGTAAAAGAGAGAGTGATGCATAAGCTGCATACATCATATGTTTCCTTATTTATTCATGCAGTTGTAGTATATGAGTTACAATGGCAGTGATTCGCACTTGGATGCCGTGAGATCCTATTAAGGGTGATGCACAATATTATCTCTGTTATGTGTGCAAGCAGCTACACATGGATTCAAAAGATAAACCCAGAGGCTGGATCCAGATGTGCAGGCACATGTTGTTTATGGTGCTGCAAACCTCTTTGCAGTAGCACAAACTGCACAAGTTGCAGATTAATTAGTGCATGGCACTGCTAATTTGCAGTGCTGGAGCAAAATTCACTACTGGGATTTTCTGGTAGCAAGACAAAACAAAACAAAACCCCAGGAAAAAAAGTGGCACAACCAACGCCAAAGGGGCGAGCACCAGGACAAACCCAGTCTCTGCGCACTGTGAAGCCCCCATGCTGAAGCACCCTGCAACCCAGCCAGTTGCTCCTCAGCCGGCTGGGGCACAGTGTGCCTTGAGAGGAGGGAGCAGGCAGCCTTGGACTGGCTGCTGCCCTGTCTCTGCATGCCTTCAGTGTGGGGGTTCTACTATGGAGACCCTATGCTGAGGCACACTATGCCCTAGCTAGCCTCAGAGTAGCTGGCTGGAGTGCAATGTGCCTCAAGACAGGGGAGCAGGCTGCTGCTTCATGGCTGGCTGGGTGCAGTGTGTCTCAGCACAGGGGCTCTGCAGTGGAGCCTCTGCAGTGAGACATGTGGAGACAGGAGAACAGCGAGCCCAACACTGCTTGCTTCCCTGTCTCAATGCATGCTGCGCCCCAGCATCGGGGCTTTGCAGCACATGGAGATGGGCAATCAGGGAGCCCTGGGCTACCTGCTCCCCCGTCTCAACGTGTTGGTCCTTGGCTGGCTGGGACACAGGGTGCCTCAGCACAGGGGATGGCTAGTCCCTGCTAAGGCACCCTGTGCCCCAGCCAGCCCACCTCCACAGCATGTGGAGCAGTAGGACAGTGAGTCTCATTGCAAAGCACACAGGCAGGGGCATACACTGCAGCAGAAAATAGCAGCACAAATTTTACTGCTACTGTTTGTGCTGCTGCGAAGGCACACCCCTGCTGGTGTGGACTCAGCCAGAGAATTGAAATAGGAATATATAGTGTTAAAAACATTCTGACCTTTTGTGGCCTGTTTTAGGTCTTTACAACAGAAGAATTGCTCTATTATTTTACCATACTAAAAAAACCCAAAAAAGTGAAAGCTAGGGCTGATACTGATAGCTGATTTTTAAGGAGGCATATTGGCCAATACCGATCCAATTTTCGATACCAGCCCAGCAGCTGGTAAGTCTATTGTGGTGGGGAGGGAAGGGGCATGGGGGGCAGTGGGGCTGGGGCAAGCTTTTCCCAGCTGGGG